TTTTTTATTTTTTTATAAAAGGTTCCTCTCGGCCCCCAACAATTGAATTATATATTTTATAGAGAAAAAAAGAAAAAAAAAAAAAAAAATCTCCAAAATGAATAACAACAATAATATCAGTAGCAATATTAATATTAATAATAATAGTAGTAATAATAATAACCATAATAATAGTAATAATAAAGGTAATAATAATAATAAAGGTAATATTTATAGTAACAATGATAATAGTTATAGCAATAATGAAAATATCAATAATACAGAAAATATGTTTAGTTTAGATAGTAACTTTGATAATCAAAGTAGAAACAGTAATAAAATTTTTTACAATAAACCTAATTTTTTTAATGACCAATTACCATCACAAAATCATAGCAATAATGATAATAAAATCAATAACCAAAACGAAAGAAAAAATAGTCCAGATCTTAGTTTTACACCCAGAAGAGATACACTCGAAGAAATCAATAATATAGAGAGTAATAAAAATGGAAATCCAGATAAAAACACAACTTTTGACAAAACAAACCTTAATAATTTTAGTTTTTCCAATTCAGTTAGTGGCCAAAAATCATATAATAGTAATAGTAACCAATTGACATACAGTAGTAATAATTTTGACAGAGTTGTTCATAATAATATAAAACAAACCAAAAGATATTTCAATTTTGATAATATAGAAAACAATAACAGCACACAACTTTCTCATTCAAATGAAGTAATAAACAATTACCCTAATAATAACAATAACAACGGCAATAACAATAGTAGTAATAATAATAAAAATAATAATAATAATACAAACTATAATAGTTATAGTGAATCACTTATTGGTAGTGATATTTTTAAAGGCTCTAGAAATATTACATTATCAAATTATATTGACCAAGTTAAAAATATTGTAAATAAAAATAGATATGACTTTAATATTAATTTAAATGATGTAAATAATTCAAGATACAATACAAGGGCAAATTATAACACATCTGAATATAGTAATAATAACAATATTTATAATAATAGTAATATAGCATTCAGTAATAATAGTAACAGCATTAATGATAGCAATTTTAATCAAAACTCCTATTACTTTTCAAATAAACAAAACGAAAAAAAGAGAAATAATGAAGAATTTGAGGGAAATAACGAAACCAATCCTAAAATTCCTGAAACAATTAAGGTAGATTATTTATTAAATGAAACCAATCGAAAAGATATGAAAAGGGATCTTAATGTATTCAACTATAGCAATAATAGTGGTATAAATCAAGACTCTGTTGTAAAAAAAAAAAAAATAGATGAACAAAAAGAAAAAGATTATGTTATAAATCACCCATTCAGATCCAATATTAATGATAATAGTGACGATGATATCAATATTGATAATAATGTTGACAATAATATAGATAATAGTAAATTTCAAAATTTTAAATCATATCAATATATACCTCATAAAAACAAACAGCAAACTTTAAATACCACCACCACAACAACAACAACAACTACGACAACTACACCTATAACCCCTCCTACCCCTCCAACATCAACACCATCCAGCGATTTAAAGGGATTATCTAAATCAAATACTATTTCAATTTTATCACCTCATCCACTTTCAGTATCAACAAATGGAAAAGCATCATCGAATCTTGTTAATCCCCAAGTTAAAACTGATGATTTACCTGACGGTCAAAAGAAAAACTTTTCAACAAATGATTTGTTAGAATCAGTTTATAAAACTATAGAAGGTCTTGCCTTTAGTACAAACAAAGATAACAAACTTGATACCAGAGTTGAAAAATACAAATCAAAAATCAACATCACCTGTTGGATGACTATATATAATAGTAAATTGGCCATCACTCCATTTCAAATTATGGAAGTTTTCAAATTTATAAGCTTAGGTACAAATTATTTTAAATGGCTTGGAGATAAACATTATGAAAACCTAATTATTCAATCATACCATTATTTGGATGACTATTGCGAAGAAAAGGGTCTTGAAAGAATAAGTACTTGTAAATATTGCAGTAAACTTTTTAACTCTAGCAAAAAGAACCGAGAAGCTAAAAAAAATCAAAGACACCCATTCAGAATGGAAAATGTATGTTTTAGATTTGTAAAGTTTTTATTAAATGAATCAAGAAAAGATACAGAGGTATGTAAAATAATTACTATAGATGAATTTTTATACTATATTAACTAAAATATAATATTTAATACAATATGTGCACATATGTTTAATTATAATTTATTAATTTTTTTTTTATTTATATTTTTTTTTAAAATAGAAATTCTCTTCATTAAAAGAAATGGGATTTAAATCAAATAGAACTTCAAATATTGTTGGTATTGTACTATTATTTTGGGGTTTCATCGAAAAAAAGGTTGATAAATATGCTGCACTCAGTTTTAGATGGATAAGAAAATTACCCTTTTCAAGTTTTTCAGAATTAGAAAACTGTTGTCCTTATAAATAATTTAAAATTATTAATTTTTTTAATTTCATAAAATAAAAAAAAATTAATAATAAATCTTGGTGCTATGAAGAGCTTTTTTTCTTTTTTTTTTTTTTTATATTACAATAGTTTTTTATTTTGCTTTTTTTTTTTTTAAAAAATTTTTAAATAAATAAATCAAAAAAAAAAAAAATTTATTTTTAAAAAAATCATTAAAAAGATCAAAAAAAATTAATTATAAAAGGAGATAAAGGGGAACCCAAAAAAAAAAAAATATATTTTCCATTTATTTTTTTTTTTTTTTTTTTAAATTTTTTTTAAATTTTTTTTAATTTCAATCATTTTTTTTAATTTCAATCATTTTTTTTAATTTTTTTTAATTTTTTTTAATTCCAATCATTTTTTTTTAATTTATTTCAAAACAGATAAATAAATATTTTGTAAAATGTCAGAAACTGATAAAAAAACAGAACAAGTTGAGGAAAAAGATAATGTTGAAGAGATTGATGGTATGTTTTATAACTATTTGATTGTACATATATGTTATAGGTATATTAATTAAAATGTTAACATTTTATAATACAGATACTCAAAATAATGATGATGATTTATTTAATGTTCAATTAGAGATTCAACAAAGTGACCCAAATTCACCATTGTATTCAATTAAAAGTTTTAATGAGTTGGGATTAAAACCAGAATTATTAAAAGGTGTATATGCAATGGGTTATAATAAACCATCAAAAATTCAAGAAGCAGCATTACCAATTATTGTTCAATCACCAAATAATCTTATTGCTCAATCACAATCAGGTACAGGTAAAACTGCAGCATTCACATTAGGTATGCTTAATTGTGTCGATCCAGCTATTGATGCCCCTCAGGCAATTTGCATTAGTCCAACTAAAGAATTAGCTCAACAAACTTTTGATGTAATTTCAAAAATTGGTCAATTTTCAGATATAAAACCATTATTATATGTACCAGAGCTTGATTGTAAGATTATTAACAATACTCATAAAAAACGATATTATTATATAATAACCAACGATTATTATTATTATTATTATTACTATTATTATTATTACTATTATTTATGGTGTATATAGTACCAGCAGTAGTTAAAAATCAAGTTATTATTGGAACACCAGGTAAAATTTTAACCCATATTTTAAATAGAAAATTATCAATTAAACATTTAAAGATGGTGGTTATGGATGAAGCAGATTTTATTGTTAGTATGGAAAATGTACCAACTCAAATTCAACAAATTCATAGATTATTACCAAAACAAATTAAGATTTGTTTATTCTCTGCAACTTTTAGTCAAGGTGTTGAAAATTTAATAAAAAATGTAGTACCAGAACCAAATGTCGATATTAGATTAAAGAAATCAGATTTAGGTCTTCAAAGAATTCATCAATATTTTATCGATTGTGGCAGCGAATCAAATAAACCATTTATTTTATCAGATCTCTATGGATTTATTAGTATTGGTCAGAGTATTGTATTTGTTCATACCATTCAAACAGCAAAAACACTTTACGAGAAAATGAAAGAAGATGGTCATTCAGTTTCAATTTTATACGGTAAGGATTTATCAACCGAAGCACGTTTTGAACATTTGAAAAACTTTAGAGAGGGTAAATCCAAAGTTTTAATCTCTACAAATGTTTTGGCAAGAGGTATCGATATTCCACAAGTCTCATTGGTTGTAAATTACGACATTCCACTTGATGAAAATGCAAGACCTGATCCAGTCCATTATCTTCATCGTATTGGTCGTGTCGGTAGATTTGGTCGTTCTGGTGTAGCTATCACTTTTGTTCATGACCAATCATCAAAAACCAAATTAAATAATATAATAGAACATTTAGGTCACCACATCGAAGAGATTAATGCTTCTGAATTAGAGCAATTAGATGGTATTCTTAAAGGAATAAGAAATCAATTAACTCCATTAAATAATTAAATAAAAGAATATTGTAAAAAATCAATTAATAGAGTAATATATAAATAAATAAATAATAATTTTTGTGATATATAAAAAGAAAAATAAAATAAAAAATCATGATATATATTTGATTTCTATTTTTTTTTTTTTTATTCGGTAATTTATATTGATTATATGATTATTTTTTATAATCTTTATGATATATATTAAATTATTATATTTATTATATATTATTATATATTATTTATATTATTATTACTATTGGGTTTGTTTATTTAACTTTTAATTTCTTTAAAAATCTTTCTTTATCTTCTTTTGAGTTTGAATCATCGTCATCATCTTTTTCATCATCATCCTCATCATCTTCGTCGTCATCTTCGTCATCTTCTTCATCGTCATCTTCTTCATCATCATCATCGTCTTCGTCCTCTTCTTCGTCAATTGCCTTCAAATGAATATAGAATGAACGACTTGCGGTTGAATGGCTCCATTTGAGATATTGTTGTTGGCTGATGGTAAAACTAACTAAAGGAAGAGTATCGCAAATATCGGCCCAAATTTGAGGTTTATCATTTATTTTAATTTGAGACGATGATGTACCATAAACACGTATTTGGTAGCGCTTTGGAGGTGGTGTTACAAATAAGAAAAGAAAGCTTCTAAATACACCCTCACCAGTTGAAATAAATAGAATGGTATGCTGCTCTTGTTTTAATAATAAACAACTTGTCTCTGTTCCTTTTGGGAGGGGTGACATCATTGTCATACGGAAAAATTCGGTTTCACGTTCTTGATCATGAAGATAAACACTGTCTAAACGATGATGGTTTTCAAAATGTTTTTCCATGCCTTCTGGTGTGATGATGGTTTCCAATTGACAACCTAAAATCTTGTTTAATGGACATGCTATCTTTCTATAGTTGCATTGCTCTTGATGTGTTTTCTTTTTATTTTGTTCATCTTTTAATGAGAATATTTTTGTACATCCATCTGAATAATTGTCACATGGTACCTGCGCTTCCTCTATTAATCTCTCTATGGTATAATTCCTCTTTGGTATTTTAGGCCATGGTCTTTTACATTTTGGACATTGCTTACTAAGATAACTTGGCAAACATGATTCGCATGTCCAAAAATCACAAAAATCGCAGCTATATGATTTACTAAATTGATTGCTGAAACAAATTCCACACTCTACAATACTATTATCTACAAGTATAACACCTTTATTATTATTTGTTATTAGATTTGATGTTGACATTTTTTTTTTTCTTTATATTATTATTAATTAAAAAAAAAAAAAGAAAAAAAAAATTAAGATTAATAATTCATTTTTTTATTGTAAATTTATTAATATTTATTTATGGTTTGTATATTAGCGATTTGATTATTATTATTATACATAAAAATCATATATATATTATTATATTTATTACTTACAATAATATATATACAAATATTATATATAAATTTTATTGGGTTGGGAAATTATTTTAAAAAACTTTTTTTTTTTTTTTTTTTTTTTTTTTTTATCAATTTTCAGTTTATTTAAATTTTGGAAGGTGCTATTTTTTTATAATTATAGATAACATGTATGTGATAATAAAATCTGAATCAAACCACCCCATTCACTATTGACTTATTGTGTTGTGTTATTAAAAAAAAATTTTAATTTTTAAAAATAAAATTGTAAAAAAATTAAAAAAAAAAAAAAAAAATTTTCATTTTTTTTAAATTTTTTTTCTTTTTCATTTACTTTAATTTATTTTAAAATTTTTTTCTTTTTTTTTAGTTTGTAAATTTATTAATAAAATCTATCTTAAAAAAATTAAAAAAAATGGTAATATACAAAAAATCAAATTTCATTTATTTGCATATAAATACATATTTAATATATAAAGTAAATGGATATGGGCAAAATATCAAAAAAACAAAACAAAATATCAAAATTAAAACAAAAAAAAATAAAAAAAATAAAAAAAACTAAAGAGTTTTGATCAAAAATTGTAATCACAATATTCACCCAACCCCAACATATATAGATGAAAATATACACATAGTATAAGATTTCGTTATAATATTCTACCACAAAATTAATCATTGATTGTGGTGATTTAATAATAATGACAATAGCGGGAATTATAATAATAACATAATATCAATATTAAAAACTTCCTCTTTTATAAACCACCACCATAATGATGAAATGGTTATAAATAATAGAATTTTAAAAATCAAAACTATATTAAATTATATATAAAAAAAATCATATTTTTTAGAGGATTTATAAAATAAATATATTTTTGTTTTTCAAAAAATAAAAAATAAAAAAAATAAAAAGTTTCAGTTGGTTTAAAATAACCATTTTTATCATAATTATAACCCTATTTACTTTTAATCACCTATCCACACAATAAAAACTACCTATTTATTATCTCCAATAGTTTAATATATATATAGTTTTTATAATGGTAATAGAATATTAAAAATAAAAAATTTTACACTCACTTTCATTTTATCATATGATATTTTAAAAAAAATCCCAACATTTTATTTTCTTTACCATTCATTTTATATAACCAACCAATCATTAATTAATAATCACTGATCACTAATTGTATTATATTTTTATTATGTTTTAGTTATTTTTTTCATTTTATAAAACCCTTGTAGGTAAAGAAATTACAGTAGAATTAAAGAATGACCTCTCAATTACAGGTTTATTACAGTCAGTTGATCAGTTTCTCAACATTAAATTAAAAGATATTAAAGTAAATGAAGAAGAAAAGTATCCATATATGATTTCAGTTAAAAATTGTTTCATTAGAGGTTCAGTAGTTAGATATGTACATTTACCAGCAGATGATGTTGACGTCGAAACTTTACAAGATCACTCTAGATTAGAAGCAAGAGAACAAAAGAAACAAAATAAACAACATATAGAACAACAAAAACAACAACAAACCCAAACAACTGCTCAATAATAATAATAATAATAATTATAATAAAATAATAATAATACAAATAATTTTTAAATAAATAAAATTTTAATAATATTTTATATATTTATTAAATATTTAATTGTATATAAATTAAAAAACTTCACACAAAAAAACCTCCTTTCTTTTTACATTTTTTTTTTTTACATTTTTTTTTTGGTTATAAACAAATAAAATATCAGAATTAATTAATTATAAATCTCTAATCTGCTTATAATTAATTAAAAAAACACAGGTTAATTAATATTGGATGAAATTTATTTCAATTTTCTTTATATTTTTTTATAAACTCCATTTTGATATTCACATATTACACATATGTTTTTTAAATTTTGGAGATTTATAAAAAAAAAAAAAAAAAAAAAAATTTTTTTGATAATTTCATTTCAAGTAAATAATGAATGTTTGTGATATATTAAATAATTTTCAGGATTAACCTCGATATATAAATTCAAATACTAAACTCTTATAATTTAAAGTGGGGAGTAGGAAATTTTCTTTTTTTTTTTTTTTATAAAAAAACTGTTACCCCCCCGAAAACTATCATATTTATTATGATTTTAAAAAAAAAAAGAAAAAAGCTATTTTTAAAATAACTTTTATTGGGTTATTATAATTAGATATTTTTAATATTATTTTTCTTTAAAAAGAAAGGATAAAAAAAAAAAAAAAAAAAAAAAAAAAGTAAAAGTGGGTAGAGAACGTCAACATACAACAACACAAACAAAAAAAAAATTAAAATAACATAAATTATCTTACTCTCGTTGCTCTAAAAAAAAATTTTATGCATCATTTATAATTGTGGGTGGGTGTGTAGGTATTAATGAGGCATTGAAGGGTGAATTAAAATAATAATAATAAAAGAAAAAAAAAGTAAAATGGTCTCTGCCCAAATTAAAATAAAAATATGATGGTGATGGCGGGTTTACAAAATTTTTTTTATTTTTTTTATTTCAATTAAATTTTTTTATTTTTTAAAAAAAAAAAAAAAATAAAAAAAGCTCATGTTGTAAAATTTGGAGGTGATTTTTATATGAAACATAACAAAAATAAATAAACGCCATATTTAAAATACCCCACTCACACAATCACATATATATATATTTTTATATATTTTTTTGATCACATTCATTTTTACATTTTTATGAAAAAAAAAAAATAAAAAAAAAAATGGTTCACCCAATTTATTTTTATATTTATTCAATATCATAGTTTTTTTTATTTTTGCACTAGCCAACCAAAACCACTATA